AAATGTGTGTCTTGCAAATTGGGTAATTGAATTGCGGAAACATTGGAATCCCCCCCCCCCCCTTCACCGTCCTCAAGCAAAGCCGTCACTATCAACTTGATCCCCCTTCGCCCTTACCTTCTGCGCTTCGCCAGCACCTTCCCCCGCGGCCTGCGCGGCCCGCGCGTCCTTTCCCACGCGCCCCAACGCCAGCCCGCCGACGATCAAAAACGCGCCCGCCAGCGCCCCAGCGGCGAGCGCGCTGCCCTCAAACGGGCGTCCGCCGCGCGCCACGACCGCGGCCTGCGCCTCTGCGAGGCCGCAGACCGCGGCCACGAAGCTCACGGCCACAGCGGCGCGCCCGACGCTCGCGTGCACGCCCGCGCTGACCTGGCCCACCTTCCACCCCGGCGCGAGCGTCTTGACCGCCCCGCCAAACACGTTGGACTTGAGCAGCACGATGCCGCCGAGCCCCACCCACGCGTGCACCGTCGCCCAGTTGGCCACCTTCTGCGCCCGGTGCGACGCGTACGCTACGCAGATCCCGGCGTTCATCACTAGGAAACCCGTAGTCATCACCGCACCGTGCACGCGCCCGCGCGTCGCCCGCGTGCCGAGAGTAGACGATTGCACACGGAGCCCGTGCGGGAGCAGCAGCAGAGTCCCGATGCTCATTAGCAGAGGGTGCCAGCTGAATAACCCCTTGCCGCTGCTGCCGTACGCCCCGAATACCCGCTGTGTCCAATACCCTAACCCCCCTGTTGTTATCACGGAGAGAGGGGTCATGAGCCATTGCATATTGCCCAACCTTTCCAACATCGCGATCTATACTTGCTTCTCTCTTCTTCTAAACGTAAAGCACACGCTTTCCTCCTCTTATTTCTCTTTGCCAATAACTTGTAGTCAACCGCAAGGCCTGCATACACTGTTTGGCCTCAAGCTAGAACGCGGCGCCGCCAATTCTGATGAGCGTGCCAGCAGACTAGGCTTCCTCGTGAATTTAGAATAAATAGCTGTCAAGACAAAAGAAGAGTAATCTCTTCTGCAAATTATCAAATGCAAGCAAGCAAAGTTACAAAAAATGTCATGTCATCATGCCCCCATCCTTTTTTGCACTGAAAAACCCTTCCGTACTGTCGAGCAGCACCCAAATTATAATTGAAATGCATCAAAGAGGATCGTCTCTCCTTCGAACGCAAAAAACGTGGGACAACACTAGCTAGGTAAGCATTTGCCGCCATACCCATTCAAGCCCTGCGTTCCTGCTTTCGGCCTCCATGACGCAATGCTAAAGACCAAGGCCGTCATGGGAGCTGGAATTCTAAGTCCCCCGTCGCAAAAGGGTTGGCGTGAATAGTCACCGACTCGATCTTAATCTGCACCCTCGGGGTCCCATTCTCCGCCTCGGCCTCCGAAATAGCGTTAACGACGGCGAGCCCCCAAATGACGGCCCCGACGACGGTGCACGTAGCATCGAGGTGGGTGGCGGGCTTAACAGTGATGAAGAACTGCGATCCGACGCCCTTGCGGGAGGGCCTACCATTATTCGCAAACGCGACGACGCCGGGGCGCGCAAACGTGAGCGCGGGGACGATTTCGTCGGGCAGACGCTTTGCAAACGCGGCACGCGACGTCTTGCCCGTGCCGGTCGGGTCGCCCGTCTGCGCGATGAAGCCCGAGGACACGCGGTGGAACGGGCAGGCGTCGTACGCGCCCGCGGCGCACAGCGCGAGGAAATTGGCGCACGATCGCGGCGCCTCGCGACAGTGCAGCTGCAGCTTGACGTCGCCCTTCGTGGTGTGCAGGGTGACACTCATGGCGGGGTTGGCGCGGGCGCGTTGCTGCCGCGTTGGTTGCGACAGTCACGATAGCAGGGGTACATTAGCAGCGGGGGAGGGAGGCAAGCGAGGAGGGGAGCGGATGATGAGGATTGGCCGTTGTGTGTACGGTACAGGCTGTACAAATTGTACCCTTGGTACAGTGCGTACTGTTTCTTTCTGGGAGGGGCATACTGTAATATCTAAAAGGAAAATAGGGCTTTGATTGGGAAAAAGATCTGCATGTGACTCTGAAGCAAGTGGTTTGGCGCGCTGCGGTTGGTGCACACACGGTGTCCACGTGGCGCACACCGGGCGGGCATGTGCCAATGAGCAGGCGCCTTCCCGATATCGCAACTGTCGACCTAAACGGCGACCCAGTTTGGGCCTGGCCTCTCACATCACGCGGGATTCAGCAAATTCCCCCCTTTCTTCAACTCCTTCAACTGGCATCTCCACCGAACCCCTGCCGTGCTTCCTCGTCGTCAACTCTCCATCCAACCTGCATCCCGGAGACATACCAACGCCTTCCCACATTCACCCCACCCCACCCAACCGCTACTCAAGCATCGCGTCATGGAGGATGGAACTACGGAGTTCCTCATTAAATGGGCAGACTACGATACTCCCACATGGACGGCGCGTACCCACATCCCCGAGGAGTTGGTGTCTCGTTACGCACAAAGAC